CTTAGAAAATTGTCAGATTTGAGTCGAAATCGCGCTTCCCTATATTTGTAAACACGCTGAAGCCGCCGGTACTAGCCACATCGGCTAATTTTGCTTAATTTACGAGTTTGAATATTTCATTAAAGATGCCGCTAGAAAAATTACAATAAGTTAGAACATTAACCAATAGAAAAATTTGTAGTGTCATCTAAAAAAATGTACTAAAAGAGACTTAAATTGTTTTTTTTTGAGTAAAAAATGATGTTCTTAGAAAGACCAATATTAATTTTATCAAAAAATCGGTCGAAAACTGATGAAAAACAAATGAACCGGTCGAACCGGCGGTTTTTTCACAAACCGCGGTTAACCGACGGTTTTAATAAAAAAGAAGCGACATGGGGGTCGATTCACTAGAAAAGATTGTCAATTGGTTTTTTTTGTCGACCATTTGATTAAATCACTATAGGAGGCAATTTATTAAAATAACATTACTGAAGTCTTAGAACATTGTATATCATGATTTTATAGCATTTGGCAATTGCCCAATATCCCAAGCCTGGCTACGCCACTGTTGTATTTATTTCATATTCACCTCTATTTGATCGTTTATCTACTTATTTCTATTCAAGTTCTACTGAACAAATTAAACCATAAGTTAAAGAATTTTTTGATAATGCACGAATAGTTCAACAATTATTATATACAAGTGTAGCAAATCTAGAACGTGTACCAACAAGTATACCGCATGAAGATTTATGTTATGGAGCTTGGCTAGATTTTAATTTATGTATAATGCATACAGAAATAATATGAAATAAATTATATGAGTTAAAAAATAATCAACAATTATAACGGAGTAGAGAACGTGTTAAATACTTAGAAGGAAAATTAACACAACTTTAATCAAAAAATATTTACATATAATTCTTTCGAAATTACTATAGATATATGAATAACTCTTCATATATGGTATTCTGTATTTTGCATTTCTTTTTTATAGTAAACATTTAGGATAAAAAATTTTGTGAAACATGATCTAAGAGAAGTGTTGAAGTGTATAAGGTAGAAATTTGGGCCCACTCCCGCAGACTGTGACAGAGAAAACCCATACCCATCACAGACCGTGACAGAGAAACCTAGTACCCATCACCGATCGTGACAGAGGGCTCCAAAGACCATCACAGACTGTGACAGAGAAATCCAATACCCATCACAGACTGTGACAGAGGGGCTCCAAAGACCATCACAGATCGTGACAGAGAAATCCAGTACCCATCACAGACCGTGACAGAGACAACCCATACCCATCACAGACTGTGACAGAGAAATCCAATACCCATCGCAGACTGTGACAGAGGGGCTCCAAAGACCATCACAGACCGTGACAGAGAAAATCCAAATTCTTTCATTCACTATATAAAAAAGCTTCATCGTGTTTCACATTTTTAATCCCGTAGGAATTGCGCTGAAAGCTTTTTTACGTACAATTTGATGAGATGATTCGAAAGATCAATTTAATTTTCCTATTTATCGATATAAAAGATTACGAAAGCAATTTATTCAGTTCAGTATTCTAATTATTGAAGATAATTTATTACTATACAGTGAAATAACCAGGATTTTTCTGCTTTTATACCATATCTATGTGAATTTTTCATAGAAGTCTCCTCACACCCACACCCACCCCACACCCACACCCACACACCCACACCTACACCCCACCCACACCCTCAAGATAGCCACACCCACACACACCTCACACCCACAGCCTTGGCAGGAATGTCTGACGTTCTGTTGGTGACTTGTACAGACGTGCACATGGTAAACCTTCATAACATGCATTTATATATAATATATGTATGACTAGCAGTTTCTATCTTGTCATCGTCTTTTCGAAGATATTGACAAGGGTGGTACATGTCATACATCCATAAATGTATGTTTGTCTTACCATTGCTGACTTTGTCCGCTGTACGAGCCAACAGAATACGGAGGGTATTCTTGGTCGCGCGTGCACGAACTTGTGCAGCTGCTCGCTTCGGCGTGCTAAGAATTTAAAATGGCTGGTTTATTTTCTCATTTCAAAATAAAAAAATTACATTTTCTTCTTTAAATTTTCGACATCTCTTTGAGTCTTTGCAACGTGTGGATGCGTTGGCGGGAGAGTTTCTCTGAATATATCACGTGTTCTTTCAAGAAATGAGAGTGCTTTTGAGTATTCTCTCATCTGTTCATACAGTATACCAATGTTACCATACAACATAGCCAAGTCGGGATGATTCGGAGGGAGAGCTATTTTCGCGATTTCCAGTGCTTGTTCGAACATCGAAAGTGCTTTCGAGTACTCGCCCGTGTTATAATACACTCCACCGATGTTGTTATAGGAAGAGGCCAAGCTGGGATGATTCGGAGGGAGAGCTATTTTCTTGATTTCAAGTGCTCGTTCGTATGATGAAAGTGCTTTCAAGTGCTCGCCCATGTTATAATACACGGCGCCGATGTTGTTGTAGGATTGAGCCTGGTCGGGATGATTTGGAGGAAGAGCTATTTTTCGGATTTCAAGTGCTCGTTCGTACGACGTAAGTGCCTTCGAGTACTGACCCATCTTATCATACATATTACCGATGTTGTTGTAGGAACCAGCCAAGTCGGGATGATTCGGAGGGAGAGCTATTTTCGCGATTTCCAGTGCTTGTTCGAACATCGAAAGTGCTTTCGAGTACTCGCCCGTGTTATAATACACTCCACCGATGTTGTTGAAAGAACCAGCCAACTCGGGATGATTCGGAGGGAGAGCTATTTTCGTGATTTCAAGTGCTCGTTCGTACGATGTAAGTGCTTTCGAGTACTCACCCATCTTATCATACACATTACCCATGTTGTTGTAGGATTGAGCCTGGTCGGGATGATTTGGAGGAAGAGCTATTTTTCGGATTTCAAGTGCTCGTTCGTACGACGTAAGTGCCTTCGAGTACTG